AAATTGGGCCATACTGTCCCATTAAAACTTCCTCTGTATCCCTTTCAAGCTGTACTATTAAGTAGTAGTAGAATATTAAGTAAGTAGAATCCTTACAGGGTCCAAGTCGGGGAGATCTTTCCAAGCAGAAAGGAATGAGAAGTGGATATAGGCAAGAAATCACCTTGTATGTGCATGCATATGGAAGAGTCAGTGGTTTGGTATTGCTAGAGCACGGGTTCTGTGGCACGGGATACGATGAGATTGTAGAGACATGTAGGGGCCAGAGCACAGCAACCCTGAAGGCATACAAAGGGTTTTGAATTTATTTTGTCAGTGATAGGAAGTCACTGATAGATTTTAAATCAGAGGTGACAAGGTTGAATTTCTGTGTGTGCAGTTCCTTAGGGGATGGACTTTGAGAGCTACTAGAGGCTCTAATCAGAGAAAGCAATGGCACCCCACTCCAGTACTCTTGCCTGGAAAATCCCATGGATGGAAGAGACTGGTAGGCTGCAGTCCATGGGGTCGCTTAGAGTTGGACACGACTGAGCGACTTCACTTTCACTTTTCACTTTCATGCATTGGAGAAGGAAATGGCAACCCACTCTAGTGTTCTTGCCTGGAGAATCCCAGGGACGGGGAGCCTGGTGGGCTGCTGTCCATGCATTCGCACAGAGTCGGACACGACTGAAGCGACTTAGCAGCAGCAGCGGCGGCGGCTCTAATTCAGCTGGGAGATGTTGACAGCCTGAACAAAGGCAATGGTGGCTGGAAGGCAAAGCATGCACAGGTGTAAGAGAATCTACATGTGAAGTGAAATCAACAGGATCAGGTAATTGATTGGTTTTGCAGAGTAAAGACGTTATTTTCAAGATGTGTCCCAGGTATGTAGCATGAGTGAATGGGTAGGTTGTGGTGTTGCCAACTAAAATACATGATTCAGAATGCAGGCAGAGGAGCCAGCCTAATCCAGAGAATGGAGATTTCCCCTTCAGGTATTTTGAGTCTGAGGTAGCTGTATGTGGCAAAGGGCAATTGACAGCAGAGTATGAAACATGAAGCTCCCAGAGCAGGGATGGGGAATATTGGTCTGGTGCCAGAATGCCAGGATGCAAATCTCAAGTGTCATCAGTGGAGTGGTTGGTTTCCATGAGGTGGTGCCCCAGTGACAAATGACCCTCAAATCCCAGTGGCTTACAGTAGCCAACTTTCGTAACCTCACTGACAGAGATGAAGGTTATGGGCTGGCTTTGGCTTTGCTCTGTCTTTCTCATTCTGGAACCTGAGGTAATGGTGGAACCCCCATCTCAGCCTTGAGCAGAAGGAAAATAGCAATGACAGAGGCAATGAAGACTCTCAAACTTCTGCATCAACAGGGCAACCAGCAGGGAACATTCTATTGGCTGGAGCAGGTCACATGCACAAGACTGAAGTCAATGGGGAGGGGCCATACACTGCTTCCACAAGAGTACAGCACATGGCAATGGTCAGGGAGCCATATTCATCTACAGGAGAGGAAAAAAAACCTTGGGACCCAACCATATGATTATGGGGGCTTCCCTGGTGGCTCAGTTGGTACAGAGTCTGCCTCCAATGCGTGAGAACTGGGTTCGATCCCTGGGTTGGGAAGATCCCCTGGAGAAGTAAACGGCTACCCACTCCAATACTCTGGCCTGGAGAATTCCATGGAATATTCAGTAGTCCAGGGGGTTGCAGAGTCAAAGATGACTGAGACACTTTCACTTTCATATAATAATGGGCTTCCCTGGTGGCTCAGAGGGTAAAGAATCCACCTGCAATGTGGGAGACCTGGGTTCGATCTCTGGGTTGGGAAGATCTGCTGGAGGAGAGCATGGTAACCCACTCCAGTATTCTTGCCTGGAGAATCCCCATGGACAGGAACCTGGCAGGCTACAGTCCACAGGGTTGCAAAAAGTCAGACACGACTGAGTGACTAGGCACAGCACACATATGATCTGTGATGACCATTAATAGGCTGTAAACCTTGGGGGACTTACTCAACTTCTCTGTTTTGCTTACCTTCTCTGTAAGACAGGAATAGAAAGTACTACCTCTCACAGTATTAAAAGAATTATTAATTAATAATTTAATTTGTCCATGTAAAGCATTTGGAACAGTGCCCAAGTGACTTCCCTTATGGTCCAGTGGCTAAGACTCCGAGTTCCAATGCAGGGGGCCTGGGTTCAATCCCTGATCAAGGAACTAGATCCCACATGCCACAGCTAAGATCTGGCAGAGCCAAATAAATAAACAAATATTAAAAAGAGAAGGAGATAGAAAGAACAGTGCCTGACAGACAGTAAATGCTGTATAGCGTAGGTGGATGGAAGGAAGAAAGAAGGTAGGCTTGCTGTTTAGTGAGTAGCGGTTCAGTTTGGAAAGATGAAAAAGCTCTGGAGAGTGGCAATGGTTGCACACCAATGTGAAAGTACTTAATGCCACAGAACCGTACACCTGAAAATGGTTTAAAATTTATGTTGCAGGCATTTTACCACAATTGAAACAAATGTAGGTAAATGGGATCATCTCGGGAAGGTAAGGAGAGGGAGAACAGGGCAGTGGACAGAAAGAGGAAATCTTGGAACTAGGAATGCAAGGCAAAAGCATCGAGAAAGGGAGATTAAGTCTGCGTGGGAAATAGAGAAGGAACATTCTAGACAGACAAGAAAACCAAGAGAGAGGCTGATGTCCTCTGAAGCCACAGGAATTGAGTGAGCAGCGGGTATTGGAATGCCTGGGGTGTCTGCTTTGCTTGGCTTTGAACCTGAACCTTCCCTTTGGCACCTTGATTTTGGTGGGTCTGCTTTCTTCCGCCAGCTCCTGATGATGTCATTTCTGGTGACCGCCCACACCAGGCCCAGACAGCCTCAGAGCCAAATCCTGGCCAGGGCTCTCCTCCGAGCTCCCTCCCTCCTCTCTGTCCAGCCAGGCCTATTTTGTCCATTGCTGACATCTTGGTGAGACAAATCCCTTATAATTAAAAAGACACAGAATTGAGGACACTTTTTCTTGTGTCATTTTTATTACTGTTGGTGTATACTGTTGCACCCTGAAAAACAAAAACCTCCAAACGTTGGATTTAAAAATTAGGGATGGTTAGTTTTATGGTCAAGTTTCCTTTATTAACAAAGGAGTTCACCTTTTGTTTACGGACCTTTGTCTATTTGATAAGCCACAGGTTAGGGAAACTGAAAGCTAAAATTTTTCAATGGGAAATGAAGACAAAACAGTAAGGAAGACAAGACTTAAAAAAAACATCCATTATATTTGCACCCCTACGTTTTGAAGAACCAAGGGATACCTTGGTTTAGAGGATTTCTGTTTTTTTGTTTCTAGATCTTGTCTGGCTGATGATCACATGAGTATCAGAGGACTACACACAGACATGTGGTTCTTAGCTCTTCCAGGAAAAAAGACCTGGATACTCTGCTCTTTTTTTTCTTTTTATTGATTTTATTTCTCGAAGATTTTTCTTAGTAAGTGAATTGATTTTACACAGTTAACTTGATGTAATCTAAAGAAAATAGATGAAGTATACTTTAGAAAAAATTACACATGCTCTAACCAGCCATCTCACTTGGCAATCATTTTCCACAGAGTCTTCCTTTCAAGATAGGGAGGTGGGTTTTTTGTTTTTGTATTTTTTTTACACATGAATGATTACATCTACATACAAGAACTCAAACTCTTGCTGACCTCCCTCTGCAACACCAGCTGGTGTTGGGGGACAGAGCACTGAGGCAGGCAGGGGCCTCTCTCAAGGTGTCAGTAGCCCCAGGTTGCTGGGCCAACAGTCCTTGGGTGGGGGTTGGGCAGTCCACACATAAATGTGGCAGCTTCTCATATCATAACAGCATTTGTGGAATGCACACTTCGGAGGGCTTCAGATGCATCGCATGGAGAAAGTAGGACATTTTCTTGGTCCTTTTGCAGCCAGAGTTCTTGGAAAGCACAAGACCCTGCAGCTGGAGAAAGAAACCACGCCAGGGTCCCACATTTCTAGGCCCTCACCCAGTAAGCAGCCCTCGTATGGCTGCTCCATCCTTGGAACACAGGGACCCTCTCCAGCCCTCACATCAATAATGTGAGCATCTGGATAGTTTTTCCATCCAGAAATTACAGATTTAAAAGGAATAGCTATTCCAGTGATTTGGGGTCCGGCTCAACAATCCCAGGTATGTCCCTGAATTGATTTGAAGAAGCAGGTGCTGTCCTGGGTCCCTTCTCACCCACCTAGTCAAGCCAGCATGAAAGGCCTGTGTGGGGCCCACAGAAACCTATGCCAAGCTGCTCTCCTGACTGCTTCCAGCCAGTGCTCATGAACTTGCCCACGGAGCCAGCCAATTTGGATCCATGGATGGCTTCTGATTTGTAGCAGCTAAGTTTCTGTCTTCAGACTTCCTCACATTGATTTTCCCTGGGGTTTTGGGACAACTGAGGTCCCCCAAAGCCTCAGAACAAAACCCAGAAAAGAAAGGTGGTCTAGGGTGTGTGTGTGTGTGTGTATGTATGTATGTATGCATGTGTCTCCTTGCCTTTCTTTGGGGGTATCTGTTTTTGTGACTCACTGGCTAGTCTCAAGGCTCCTCTTCCATCAGGCCAGGTGTCCAGAACTGGAGGAGGTCTGGCCAGTGTGGGAGGAAGGTTGTGAGAAGGAGGCGTGAGTGGCAGCTTAGACCCGAAGAAACAGTGTCCCCGGAGCTATTCTCTGAATTCACTTGGGTTGGATCTGGCCGCTGTATGATTGACTCCATGAGAATTGTGGGAAGTGAAGGCCCTGGGGAAGGGGCTGCTAAAGACAGAGTAATGCTGGACAGAACTTTATAGAAACTTCAAGGCTCCCAGGAGCCCTGGGCAGCTTTCTATCCAGGAATCACTGCGAAGTGTGGAGAGGCTGCCCTGGGAGAGTGGGAGAAGGTTAAGGTGGGGTTGGAGTGGGGGTCGTTGGTAGGGGGGGGTCAGTTCTCAGTCTTCTTTTTGTTTCTCCCTGGAGAATCTCACTCTGAACTTGGAGAGGCGGCAGAGTCCCCATCCTCGGGGTCCTGCCCGTGGGGGGAAATGGGCTGACCCCCCTTCACGCGCTTCCACTTCATCCTTCGGTTCTGGAACCACACTTTGACCTGATGAAGGAAGCAGAGGAGCCGGGTAACTTCAGGGCAGGTGTGACCACCTCACCAATACTGACACGCAAGGTACCTGCGGTGCAGCTCCAGGGAGCCCAGCTCCAAACTCTGCTTGCCCCTCCCCATGCCTCCAAAGGCTCCAGGTATTGAGACCAAAGGGAAGACTCCTCAATCTGCTCAAAGACCTGTCTTACCTCTCCAGATAAAGAAAACCTCACAGGCAGAAGAACTGATACTAAATGTCACTTTGCATTGGCCCCACCTCTTCACAAGCCCCGCCCCTCTTAAGTGGACACCCCTCCCTCAAGCTTCTATTACCCAAGGACCTGGGAGCACAGAATCACCAGCCTCTCCCTTAGGCACATTTGGAAAGCATTTTTCAGCTCTGGTCTGGGCATTTTCTCATCTGAGCTTCAGCATTTACCTGCATGTAAACCTTCAGGGTGGGGTTATGACCCAGTTTTACAAATGGAGACCAGACAGGTTAGGAGAAGATGTGATCCAGAGGTCCCAGGGCTATGAAGTGGTAGAAGCAAGATTTGAATCTAAGTCCTCTGATTCTAAATCCAGCACTCTAGCAGATCGCTTTCTCAACTGAAAGCTGCTATCAATTATTATTATATTTTACTCCACATCAGAGCACGAGTATGGCTGGAATGTTCTGAAGAAAAGGCCAAAACAAAGGGTGAGGAGGTTTTTCTCAGAGTGTGCCCAGGAAACAGCTGCATGTTCAAATCACCTGGAGAACCTACTAGAAATGCAGATTCCCTCTATTACTCTATTACTGCACTATCACACTGTGGAACCCTGAAATCTGCATTTTATTTTTTTGAAATCTGCATTTTAAACAAGGGCCTGGGTGATTCCACTGCACACTCACATTTGGGGATAAGCAGAGCAGAGGTGTCAACCCTGGCTGCATGCCAGAATCACCTGGGGGACTTTTTAAAAAATATTTATTTGGCTGCACCAGTCTTAGTTGCCTCATGTGAGCTCTCGTTCCCTGACCAGAAATTGAACCTGGCCACCTGCATTGGGAGCAGAAGTCTTGACCACTGGGCCACCAGGGAAGTCCCAAGCTGGGGGACCTTTGAAGAATTCTGATGCCTGGACTCCACCCCAGACCAGTGAAAATAATCTTTAGGGGTGAGCTCCACACATCCGCCTTGTTAGAATCTCCATAGGTGACTGTCAGGTACAACCAGAATGTCTGGATCGGGTGGAGGGAGAGGAGAAAGGAGAAGGTTCCAGGAGAAGGGGGCAGGGAGGGAGGCGGGATGAGAGAGCACAGGAAAAGAGGGATGGCCAGAAGAGGAGGGGCTCCTCCATGTCGCACCTGCCGCTCGGAGAGGTCCAGGTTTACCGCGATCTCATATCTGCGGAGCCGGGTCAGGTAGTTGTGATGAGCAAACTCAGCCTCGAGCTCCCGCAGCTGCTCCTTGGTGAAGGCTGTCCGCTCCTTGCGGGCCTTGCTGGCGCCCTCTGGCTTTGCTCGATTCTCCTGGTTGTCTGGGGAGAGAGGACCCCAAACAGGAAGATATGAACCGCAGGGACCTTGGTTCCCTTTCTTTTGTCTTCAAGCAGAGGCGCAAGCCTTTCCCTGTCGCTCTTATTTTTAAAGGATGCTGAGAGAGATCCCACCGTGTCCCTTTATCATTCCTTCTAATGCCTTAACCCTAAGAGAAATGGAAAGAATTTAGGATCCCAACCTCAAGTGCCCTGCCCCTCAAACAACTATTTTTAATTTCCAGAGCACAAGAAGCTGCCCTTGGCTGTTGAATGACCTCTGCCACCTGAGCCACCCTCACCTTGACACTGGTAGTGGCTAGGAGCTTGTGGGGCAAGATGCTTTAAAACTGAGGTTCTCTGTCCTCGGGGAGATCAGCCCCATCTAGGAACTCATTATGAATGCAAATCCTTGGGCATCACCACACACACACCTGCTGAATGAAAAACCTCTGGGAGTGGGACCCAGTGATCTGTTTTAACAAGGCTTCTGATGGTTCAGACACGTGGTCAGGGTTACAAACCACTGCTCTAAGACCTGGCTTCTCAAAGGATGGTCTCGTGGTGGCAGCAGCAGAGTCTGGGTGCTGACCAGACTTGCAAGATCTCCTGCTGCCCACCTCCCATCCTCAGATCTACTGAATCAGAATCTGCATTTTAGCATGATCCCCTTAGGAATTAGGGCCTCCCTTGTGGCTCAGATGGTAAAGATTGCCTGCAATGCGGGAGACCCAGGTTTGATTCCTGGATGGGGAAGATCCCCTGGAAAAGGTCATGGCAACCCATTCCAGTATTCTTGTCTGGAGAATGCCATGGACAGAAGAGCCTGGTAGGCTACAGTTCATGAGGTTGCAAAGAGTCAGGGATACGACTGAGTGACTTACATGATCACTAACCTTAGGAGTTGTGTGCACATGTAAATTGAGAAGTGCTGCTTTAAGTTTCTTCCTGGCTTTCAAGACCTACCCTAGCCCCTACCTGTGACACCAGGAGGGGCCCAGTCTGGAAAGTTCACTTATGAAGGAAGCTCTGAGTTAGACATAGCAGGGGCTCAGTCGCAGCTGCTAACAGCGGTGCAGGGACCAAGCACTTTAGGTGTATCAGCCACTTAATCCAAACAGTAATTCAGCCAGGTGAGTTCTAGGACGAAACCCATTTTACAGACCAGAAAACTAAGCACAGAGAAGTGAAGTAAACTGTTCACTTGGCCAGTGAGTGGAGGGGCTGGAATCCACTCAGGCAGTTTGACTCACACACTGTTCTAGTGAAATACACTTAGGAGGGCTTTACAAACTGTTAAGTGCTGTATACATAGAAGGGACTGTATCGTGACCTCCCGGAGCAGGGTAAGAGACGGTGGCGGGTGGAGAGGCGTGAAGGAAGGAGACGACATACCCATACAATGAACTACCAACGCTGCCACGTGGCCGGGAAAGGGCTCCAGGAAGCACGTTTTACGCAGGGCTCTAAAAATTAGAAGTCTTTCAACTCACTGTCCTTGTTTTACAGACTGGGAAGCCGACCAATCCGCCAGATTGCCAAGCGGGGTCGGGATACAGAGCCCCCTCGTCCACTCCGCGTTCCGTTGGGAACTTCAGCCTGCCGGTTCTTTCTAGCGCTTTCCACGCAGTCCCTTGTATTTCAGTCGGCGAGTCCCCCGCTGGGAGCCCGGGAGAAGGGCGGGGAGAGGCTTCTCAGGCGCGGGGAGGCGCGCGGGACAGAGATGGGGGCGCCTCCCGCCCCAGCCTGGCGTCCCGGGGAAGTGGAGAAGGCGGAGGAGGGCCGCCCCCGGGGGTCCCCGCAGCCGCGATGCCCGGCTGTCCGCGCCGGGTCCGGGTGGGCCGCCCACCGGGCGCGCCAGCGGGCCGGGAAGGAAGGGGGCGAGTTCTCCGACCGGGCTGCCTGCCCGGACCTCTCCGGAAGCGGAGCGGGGGCTGGAGGGGAAGGACGCGCCGCCCGGCCGGGGTCCCCCAGGAGTCCTTAGCCTTGGCCGTCGCGGCCCAGGGAGGGAGGGGCGGTCACGCTCTCGCCGCGGAGGGACGCCGCTCCCGGAGCACGTCCCCGCCCGCGAGCCCAGCGCGAGGCCGCGAAGCCTGGCGCGGTTCCCACCCGCTGCTGCCCGGGGGCTCAGTGTTTCCCAGTCCTTTCTTTTCACAGCAGCGGGTGTGTCAAACCCGGAGGACTTGAGCCGAGGTTTTCATCCTGGATCTTCTTGCTGGAGCCTCTCAGGAAGTCGCTTAACCTCCCTGGGCTTCAGCCTCCTCATCCAAAAATCTACCTCCCAGCGTTATTGGGAAGCCTAGACAAGCTGCTGTAGGTGGAAAATGCTTTTAAAACTTCAAAGCGCTGAAACGAATATATAGTATTCTGATTCTTCAGTTCCTTGAGATGCCATCTGAGGGCCTGGTGTAATAGCAGCTGTCACTTCTTAAAGTCTTCCCTGTGCTAAGATGCAGTCTCGGCTTTAGTCATCCCCACATAACACTGGAAGGAGTAGGCAGTGTTATTATCCCTTTATCTTTGTCATGTGGATTTGTGTGATAATTTGATTAATAGCTCTCTCTCTCCCCAGGGATGTAACTGCTTTTCTCACTTGCTACTGAACCCGGCACATAGGAGGTACTTGTTAAATGTTTGCTAAATCCTTCTCAGTATACAGAGGCAGAAGCAACTTCAGAGAGGCCCGGGAACTGGGCCGGGCAGCTTTGGGGCAGCAGAACTGAGATTTGAATCCAGATCCAGCTGACCAGAGCCGTGGCCATCATCAGCCCTGGTGTCAGGTTCTCCATCTTGCATCTGGCTGGCTGGGGGCTGGACCTGAACTATGGCAGCTCTGTGCATCTCCACCTCCTGGGCTCCCAGAAGCCTTGTCCTGGGTTGATGCTCACATCCCACCCTCCCTGTCTTCCAGGCCTGCTTAGGTGTGCATAGGTGCCCTATGGACACCCACGCCCCCCCAGTTATACCCATCCTACACACACATACAGAGTCCTGCGCATAATCCTTCCTAGGGAGAAGAGGGGAGATTGGGAGACGAGCCCTTTGTAGCTGGTCTTGGACTGGTTGGGGGGGAGACAAAAACCAGGGTAACCCCTCCCTATCCACTCTCCTATCTCATCTCTTATTATCCTGATTTGGGCACTGGGGCCTCAGGATAAGCTGGGAACCCAGTGTCTGAACCCGTATGTGAACCTCAAGGCAACATTTGGCTAAACAGGGTGGCACTGGGAGGACCTTTGTCCCTCATCAGCTTCCCACAGGTGTAAGAACCTTTTAGAAATGTTAGAAATGACAAAAGCGTCAGAAGTATGTCAAGTTAGCTATCACACCTGCTGTGATCAAAAGTCTGCTTCGAAGGTAAAATGAGATGGGAAATGTGTGTTAACACAGCACAATGCGTGGCATTCAGCTGAGACTCCTTTGAAAGAACCACCAGAAGAGGTTCTACTGGGGATGATGTTGGAGAGGTAGCACAGGCAGAGGTAAAACACGACGCTTCTTGGGGTACCACGTCTCAAGAACTGTGCGAAAGGGACGCCTTTTCAATGTCTGGCCTTGTAACTGTTTTCCCTTCTCCCAGTACTTTTGCATATCTGTACTTGAATCTGTGTCACTATTGGTTCCAAGCACAGTAACTAGCATTGATCTGCATGAGGATCCATATCAGTCCTCCTGGTCCTGATTCTTCCTCGGGGCCAAAGGGTGCCTCTTCCACGACAGCAGAGGGAGGAGGCTGGCGTTCAGCAGTCTGCCTCTGTGTCTATGGAGGAGCCACATGGCCCTGCCCCATCCTCTGCACACCCTCAGAGGGAGCAGGGCCATGAGGGAATGGTCCAGAGTGCCCAGAGAAATGCAAACAGGATGTGTGTGTGTGATATTGCAGTTTCTACCATGAGCTTTTACGCCATCCAAGGTAAATTATTTCATAAATAGCTGTCAGGTTTGGCAAGCCTTCTTAAAGTCAGCAGACAGCTTTATCAGTACTAGAGGGAGGCTCAGACAGACCTTGGGGAATGTGCCTTTTTTGGAGTTCTGTATTCCTACTCCCCAACTCTCACAGCAACTTAACATAAATTTCTATCCAAGACCAGATAGATGGCCACATGCCCCATGTTCAAATAGCACATTGCAGTTGACAATTGACAATGGGTTTCTTTCCCCCAGAGAAAAACTTCTGTTGGGCTTTCCTCTGTACTACAGAATCATGGAATAGCAGACCTAGAAGGGGACTTAAAGATGATCTTATGTGGCCTTTTTACCTTACAGGTTAAGGTAAGAAACTTGCCTAAAGACATACAGCAAGTTAGTGGCAGAAGTGGGCTGAGAACCCAGATTTCCTTGAGAGGAAGCTATTTTCTTGCTATTAGGCTGCTTCCTATTAGATCCTCTTAATTATTCTGTGAGGTAGGTAAGGTACACATTAGACCATAGAGCAAATGAGGAAATTGAGACCCAGAAGCTAAATGGTTTGCCCAAAGTCCCCCAGGACCTGTCCAGGCTAGGTCACCCTGGGCTGCGGGGACAGTGAGTATGGAGATGTGGTTACTCCAAGGATGGCAATCTGAATCTGGGTCCAGGTCAGCCTCCCAGGGACTTCCCTAAGTGAGACCTTGGCAAATCCTCTGAAAATGGTGCCTATAGTTTTCTGAGCTATAGACCAGGCCTTTAATGTGCCCATTAGCTGTTTTTTTGTTTTTTTAAATTTGACCACACTGTGCAGCATGTGGAATCTTAGTTCCCTGACCAGGGATTGAACCCACACCCCCTGCATTGAAAGCGTGGAGTCTTAACCTCTGGACCACCGGGGAAATCCCCTGCTCATTAGTTTTGATACTTTTAGCTTCAGAGGGAGCAGTCAAAGCCCTCAAAATAGACAAGACCTGGATGGAACCATTCCCCAGATGCGTTTGCATCCAGACCTCTTTGGCTTCCTCGGACTGGCCAGCCTCTCTCGCTGGGCCCTGTCTGTTCCACCTCAATGTCTAGACCCTTTTCCTCTCCCG